CACACAGTCAACCCAGCTAAGATTAAAAAGGTGACAGTAAAACAGCTTGATTGACAGTGTTACTACATTACAGGTAAAACTTTACAAAAAATGTTTTGAGGCATTCTAATAAACTTTTGATTCAGTTTCTGTGATCTTAAGACAGATACAAAACCAATTTTAAAAAGCCATTAATCCAATTGACTGGTGGGGTTCAAAAGAAACTAAAAACATGACAAAATATTGGGTGGCTGTGCAAAGCAACAAAAATGTTTAAAAGAAAAAAAGCTTCAGACAAAAGACAGGGAACAGGATGTTGTCAGTTTTTAGGTGTGATAAGAAAACACTTTATGATCATATGTTGTAGCGAGGTGTTACCAGAACTGTCGCATTGGCTTTGAACTGTGCGCCTTGCAGGTTTTTTTTTTTTTTTTATAATAAGCAGATTTGTTATAATAAAGGAAATCCACAAATGTAGGTGTTTTTCTTTTTCTTTTGGTATTTAGAATAAGAATAAATAATGGCGGAGCTAATCGGATGTGAAGCAATGTTGATTTTATAGCAACAAGCAACTGCCTAAACCAGAGGTCTGAAACATGGGGCCCCAGAGCTGCAAGGGGCTCTTTAGGGACTCAACATCGGCTTTTCATCACTTTGGCTAAAACTGATGAAGAGATGGCTATTGTTTTGAGCAATTAATATACAAACAAAAGCATTTCATAGCATGTTCTCCCTTAATTATCATATTTTTCTCTTTTTTTAAAGTGATATTTGTGGCTCCAAACAAGTTTTATAAACAGGACTGAAGTAAGTGACCCTAAAGAAGATGATGAGATTGAGCATCAGCCAATTCCAAAACAAAGACGAGCCTCAGGACCAAGCAGTCAGCTAGCCCCAGGCCCAGAACAAGCCACTCAGCAGTAAAATATTATTAACATGTCCCACACTGATGTAGTTCATCTGAAGATTGGTTCATTCAACGTGTTGTCAGCCATGTAAAGTCAGCAGAGTGGAGAATACAGACAGTAAAACCTATAATCAGCAGTTTCCACCTATCCTTCTTTCCTTGCTTTGGTCTGCACAGTGAGAGAGAGCACACTTTATATTTAATACCACAGAGGAGGGCTAGCTTTGGCTCTGGGACAATAAAGCTCTTGTAAACAAAGATAAGAAACCCTGTGAGGTGTGTCTAACTTTTAAGTATATACCACAGAGGAACAGACTGTGTTAAACCACAACAGCTGTGAACACCTGAATAGACTGCAGCTGGATGAGCTGCCTCTATGCTTTCAAAGCAAGTTTCTTTCTTCTTTAATCAAGAGAAAAAAACAAGAAACCCAAAGAGTTTGTCCAGCACGTTTAAACAAATTCCCCAGCATACTGGTGAAGTAATTAGACACGCCTTATTTCACTCTTGCCACAAGGAGCTGGCATAATAAGCCATTAATTCCTGATAAGAAAGAATGCAGTGAAATCCTTTCAGTGAAATGCTGCAGAACCTTGTTTGTGCGTTTGATGTGTCTGAAGAAAAAAATCAATCCTTTACGTATGAAAAACATTTATACTTGCCTTCCACCATCAGCATCGGCTCTTTGGCTCCTCCATGGGCCAGCATCTCCCGTCGGTACCGCTCACCCATCTCCCTGAAAAAGATGAGGAGGGACAGGAGAAAAGGTTTTATAGAGTTTTATTCTCTCCCATGCCAGCAGCTGGAAAACTGAGCTGCAATGTTGGGTGAAACAAAAACAACCCTGAAAAGCAAATTTTAGAAAAGAAAACTTGAGATACATCAGAAGGACTGAATTCCAGAAATAATGCAGTGCTTTGTGTGTGTGCAGCTTCTTATGTTAGTTCTGGATGTGGGAATTTCAGCAGAAAGCTGCTGGTTCCAGTTTCATGTTCTTCAGCATCAGGATGAGACTTTAACTTGATCCAGAGGTGTAAAAAAGTAACTACTGCTTCAGAACTACATACCAAAACTGCGTTGGTATTTCATAAATAAATAAATACAGGGAATTTTTTCGATGTAATATGACAAAATGTCATTATTGTATTAATAATTCAACATATATTTCATATGAAAACGTTTTAAAAGATTAAATGCTGATGCTAAAATAATTTTTGCTGAATATTGATTTTTTCAGGGTCCATTTTTACGGTCATAAAAACCTTGTATTTTTATTTTTGGGATTGAACTGATGTAGACAATATTTCTATTTCAGAAACAAGGTGAAAAGAAAAAAATAAGTGTCAGAACATTACACTCTTTCTTACCCAAACTGATCCAATAATATCAATGAGCATCATTTAATGCTTATATGCGTTTTTAATCATTTAACTCAAGCATTAGCTCACCTGTTTAACGGATCCTGAACAAAGCACTGTTTCCACACCATGGAGGCCACGGCCCGAGACATGAGGTACGAGTAGTACTTGGCCCCGTAGCCAATCAGATGGCTGAATCTCAGCTGCCACGCCTGAAACAGAACAACCAAAATAAAAGATTAGATATTATCAACTGTAGCTACTGCTTTTTGGGGCTGCTTATGAACCTCATGAAGGGCCAATACGCTTATTACTGTAGCAAAAGTGAGTTCTTAACAATGGTTCATTTTAAGGGGAAGACATCGAGTTGACAAACATATCCGGTGCAAAAATATCCAATGTTTTATTTTTTTAACTCCTTTAACTCCATAAACTGACATATTTGGATGAGTTATTAGATGGACAACATCAGAAAAATAATAATCTGAATCCCCTGTGGGGAGATATAATCCTTCAGATGGAAATAATGGATGTGAACTTCATAATAGGAATAAATCCACCACGCATCATGCCCGTAAGGGAGCAATAAAACGGAGTACATTTGTGTTTGAAAACATTTAATCAGTGCCTGACTCATAACTGCTGGCAAACTCCATTTTTTTTAAAGCGATGAGCAATTGAGTTACCCTTAAAGAATATATAGTTGAAAAAATAACATTCAATGCAAAAAAACTGCGTGCAAGGCAAAAAATAAATCAATCTTTTATCATAAAGTCATAAAAAAAAATATACAAATTTGAATGAAAAAAATGAAAAAATATAAAAGTAAAAATGCTTCTTGTTTGTTTTCCCCGATACAAAACTCCAACACTTGTTAAGTTCACCGTTGTCTAAGTGACGTCTAATGTGAAATAGTCAACTTGCTTGACTGGGCTATAAATACAGCTAATCTTTAAAATGGGAAAGACGAGAACATTAAATGAGATTAAGTCATAAATGTGCTGATCTTTAGAAATGAGGAAATGCTGTGAGGAAATATGCATAAATGTCCCAAATAATCTAAACAGTAATCATTTTAAAAGTTTAAATAAATACACTGTTGGATGAAAAACTTAAAGATTAATTAATTTCATACATTTATACATTGCCAATAAATGTGAAAGGGGCTGTTCTGTAACGTCTGAGGTTGATTTATACAACAACACATCCTATTCTGCTCTAGTTTATTGCACTATTCAAAGTGGATTGATTTGAAAAGATAGAAATGCTAATTCTTCACACTGTGATTCACTTCATCATAGTGTTGTTCATATAATTGAAAATGAGTGTCTGGGATAGTATAATGGTAAATGAATGGATGTGCAGTATGCAATTATTTTATGCCGTTTAAGGAAATAAATAGATGTTATTTTATCATATTCAGCCTGGTCAGGGACTACAAGTTTGTGTTATAACCTGGTACTGTGCATCTCTCCTTTTTCTGTTTAAATAAAAAATAAATGAAAAGAGGGAAAACCCAAGCAAGGTAAAAAAGGGAAAATATGATATTAAAATTAGATTGTAAAGAGACGCTGATATAAAGGAGGAACTGCTGCAAAATATGACGCCACTGCCAATAAATAGTGACTGTAAAAAGAACAATTATTTAGTTTTGACAGCTTCCAGTATCGTTTTCTAACTCTTTAAATGAATAGAAGTTATTTTATAGGCTTCATGAAAGCAAATTTATAAAAAGGACAAAAATGGAAATCCCTAGAAGCCCCCCCTCTCCTCATTCCTTGCTCCTCCTGTGAACACCTGAAGCAGCCCCTCAGCGTATCTATAAAGGCAGAGTTTTTATGAGCTCTGCACTGTGGGGAAATTCAGCTGGCAACCATTCAAAGACCCGCCAACAAAGGTTCACTGCTGCAGTTAACACCATGCCATCAGACCTTTGTCATAAAAGTGGATCTTTCATCTGGATTTATATTCTAAGAGTGTTTATGCAGCTTACTGATGACTTCAGTGTGAGAGCAAAGAAGAAAAAAAAGATGACATTTTTGGCATCTCCTTAATCATATTCAGTTACTTTAACATAATTGTTTTATGTTCTAACCTCCTAACATGAAACAATAGCGTTAACGTAACTTAATATATTTTCAGTGAACTGATTTATTTTCTCTTGAGCATTTTGCTGCTAGTTTGTTTAATGGTGTGAAACATAAAAAAAAAAAAAAAAGATTTTGTTTCAAATCTAACTTTAGAAAAATCATTAAGTCAAAGTGAACGTATATATTTATATTATAATAATAATGGTAATTTAAAAAGAAGTTTCCAAACCTTTAATATAATATTAGGTGATAGTAGCTTGTTACATTTACTCACTTGAGTTTTACTTTATTGTACTTTTTATTTTTTCTTGCTTATATTTTCTTTTTGTTAATTATTGCTACTCTAACGTGACTTAAATGTGTGACTACTCCATCCATTGTGAGTCACTAAATAAACTTTGTTTGTTTTCTAAAGTGTTTAATGCGGTTTATGTCAAAATTATTTTTTTTTGTGCACAAATTTACTTAAACATACTGTGACATTTGGAGGTCAAGCTAAAATACAAAAAGCTATAACTCTATCATAAAGAGAAATTAATCAAAAAACTGTTTCTTCTGCCTATAATTGTTATTTTTCAGTCACATTATTCATTTTAATAGATAGTCTTTAAAATACCAGAAGTTTCATGTAACTGGTTGGTTTATTACAAGAGTTTAAATGTCAGATGTCCTGAGGAGGTACTCAGTACGTCATACTTTAGTAGCCTTTTTACCAAATACTTTGACTTTTACTTTAGTAATTTCTTGGATACTAGAGTAAAATTTTGGGTTACACTAACCACCTCTAAATATAATGAATAAGCTGCCAATGAAACCCTAAGCCAGTCTGCTGGTAAAAATAAGATTCCTATAATTTTCCTTTGCCTTTCACAAGGACAAATGGACTGTTTGGAAATGGTCCCGTTGTGAAAGGCTGGACAGTCAGGGTGGAAACTCTAGGTGTGCCATTCGCCACCTTTATTAAACACAACAGTGTTTTAAATTTAGTGAAAGAGCTAGGAGTGGTACATCTGTGAGGCAGACAACTACAGTTAGCCTGGCTTACTATCAGCTTGTTGTACCTGTGGAACTTTGAAACAGAATCAGAAAGGTAGGAAAAGTGCATACAGTAAAAAACATCTAAAATGAAGTTTAGTGGGTTGTGTTTAATTGTCGCTGAAGGGTGTGTATTAAATCTTAATCATCATTTTTTTTTAAATAAATAAATTACATCAGATTAGGGCTGGGTATTTTCGCCCAAGTCCTGAAACGATTGGATTTTGATTAATAAAGTTCTAAATTGATTAATTTCGATTCGATCTGTTTTTACAATAATGAAAGTGGTTCAACTGTGTTTTAAAATTACTCATGTATTTTATTTTTTACTGTCACATTAAACACAAAGTGCAAACTTGTAAATCAGACAGTTTCAACTTGAGATGTGCACAAAACTGTCTTATAAGTGCAAACTTGTTTGTGAAAAGTGAAAAAGTGAAGCCACAATCGGGCAAGCAGACGTGACATAGCGGGGACACAGCCGACATGCATGAGCTGCATTATCTTCACTGCACAAACCATATTTGCAGCTTTCTCTGTAACAACTACAGGGTGTTTGCTGGTCAGCCCCCATTTGTTAATGTGTCCAGTCAACTCATTGGCTATATTTGCAGCTGTTTGGCTTGAAGTAATCTTTCCTGCTCATTTGAATGTGAACGTCACGCATCTTAAACTAATCGATCTCATTCCCTAGACATCGATATCGCAAAAATATAAAGGAATCGATTCAAAATCGATTAAATCGATTTTTTGACCCAGCCCAACATCAGATTATTAGGTTTTAACACTGACCAATAAAAACTAGCAATTATAGGAAAGTAAGCACTTCAATGGATTCAACCTTGTTATCCTATATATAAAAGAGCTCCAACTCATCAGCACTAAAGCAAAAAAAGTTTTAACCATTACCAATTAATTAACGTCTGTTTGCATCGATGAATGTTTCCTTGTTTTGAGAATTAATCCATTTGTTGATAGTTACAATGTGAAACTAAAAACAGCACTCAGAGCGCAAATCTCCGCCAAGCAGCAAATGTTGCCCCATATTGTGACTTAAAATCTATAGCTAAAACTGGTTTATATTCTGGATCGTCACCAAATGTTTTACTCTCGGGGGGACAGACTCCTGCAAAAACAATAAATGACACATTAAAAAAGGGTATTTTAATCAATGACATGAGTTCAGGAGGACAGAAAAGTGATCAAGTAGTGATCCTCTGAGCCTCGCAAAAAAACAAAATAATAAGGGGCAGACAGAACAGGTAAGGGCAGCGTATCTCTCCCACCTTTTTAATTAATAAAATAAGTAAAACTTCAACAAACCTCCTAGATCTCTCTCTAAGAATCCCCTCTCACTGCCTCAGACACCATTTAAACTCTCCCACAGCCTTTATTTCTGAGTTTTCCTTTCCTTTAAACGCAGTTCTCATTATGTTTTTAATATAGTTCATTAAACTGTTCTGGTTTGAGATGCTGCACATACTCGCTAAGTGGGGCTTTGCTTTATAGCTGCTCCTGTGCTTTTATTAATACTAATTTTAACATTTCATAATCTGTCCAAGTCAAATATGGGAAATTGTATTAATTTATGTGGCACAGAGAGAGAACTGAAAAAGAAATCTGCAAAAATCTGCTCACCCTGCGCAGTAGAAGCCTCTCTATATGCAGCCAGTGTGACATGGAAAAAAAGTCGGAACGGAGAGTAAAAAGTCGTATGCAAACGGTGTGACCCGGCCTTAATAGTCAAAAATTGAAGCTATCATTAGTCACTGCTGCCATCCTAGGGGGGCCCTGCTTGTTCCAGCAAATAATGTTGAAGAAGCCTTTAAAAAATGTGTGCATCCAGATTATAATGTGAATGATCACCATATTGTTCCTTGGACTGAGGTAAACATTTGGTAAAAATGTCATTAAAATACTTTTTCCAAGTCATCCTGTATATGGACAGACACACACTCATAAACTCGACTACAAACATAAGCTCCTTGTCGGAGGTAATAAGGGATTTTAGCTGACTGCAGTGTTGGCCGCCCATATCTGCGAATACTTCAATAAAAAGTGTCCTCAGCTATGAGACAGCTGCTTTTAGAGTTTAAACTAAACTGTTGGCTGCTCCTCTCCAGCTGTGGTCCAACAGCTTTGAAGATTCATTTCCTCGGAACGATTCAGCAGCGGGGAAAATACTCTGCCTCTAAAGTGTCACGCTGACAGGACTCTTCTGGGCTGGGGGGACTTTAATAAGAGGAAAGTGCACTCTTGAGAGGAGTCACGGCTCATAACTTTGTAGCGAGGAAAAGTTTGCTGTGTAAAGCAGATATACAGCAGCTTGGATCACAGAGATTTTGAGGCCTGTGAAAGCTCTCGGACATCCAATAAATGTGAAAATGGAAAAAGCAAAGTGCTTTGAAAAACTTCATATCCATTGAACTTTTTCTACCATCTTTAAATTCCAGAAATAAACTTCAATTTATATTGAACCACAGATCAACACAGGAGAGCATTCAGGTCCCTCTGGGTCTATACTTTTCTGAAAAACCTTTTTCTCTTATTTACTCCAACCCAATACGACCGAATGAACGTCACGTCAAGTGGTTTTCAAGTAGATTTAGCTCCGGACTTTGGAGCATTTTCACATTTTAATTTCAGCTTAGATTTAATGCTTGTGTCCTTTTCCCGCTGGGAGATAAAACTCTGGACTGTCTCAAATGTTCTGCGGCTTTCAACAGGTTTTATTCCACAATTTAGCTCCATCTTTCCCTAAACCCGAACCAAGATAACTGTCCACTCTGAAGAAAAAACTGAGGGGTTTTCAGGGTGATACACAGTGTTAGCATTCTGCCATTTTACATTAAGCACCGCCCCCGGACCCAACAAAAAAAAAAACCTATATGTAGGTCCTAAGGCCTCAATGTGTTTAGAAAAGCCTCAGTAAATGTCTTGTAGACAGATTTTCCCAGCCGAGAAGGAGGACAATACAGGCAGCTATGACTCCTCTCTGTGCTCTATTCTCTTGGTTAGGGAATGGACACATCTTGGTAGCGTTTATATTGATGTCACAGTCTTACACATTTTCTGACAAAACTCCTTTCTGATGTGTAAAGCAAAGGTTACAGTTTAATACCCCAACTCAGCTTTAAAGGTATAGAGGAAAATCTTTAATTTCTGGGTGGATCATCTAAATAAGTTGTCCTCCTAATTGTCAATCATTGTGGTTATATGTTTACATAAGGTAAACATATAACCTTAAGATGGCCCAGTTAGCCATCTTTTTCTGCGCATGTGCACTTTCAGGCATATATGTGCGGTGAGCTACGGTTTCAGACAGTCATTGAAGCTCACCTTTCTCACAGCGGTTCCTTGAAAATGGCCGAGGCCCTTTAGGTAAAAAGGTGAAAAGAAAGGCCTCAGAAGAGGCAGATATATCCCAGAATACTTTGCGCAGAGAGCTCTCCTCCGAAGTATTATGGGATTTGCTGTCACAGCACCGACGACAGCGCCATCTAATAACAAAGACGGAGCAGGCACCGCGCGGTGGAGCTACCTGACAAACGGGGAGCAGAAAGCAGTGATCATCTGTCCGAACAGTCAGCTTACTGAGTTCACTATAAAGTCCACTTTATAGTCCCTGATTGAGGGACCCTGATTGGGCCTATGCATGCTCTTGCAAGTGTTTAATAGGTGTTCCCTCTTAGAAGCAGGTACAGGGTTGTGCATGTGCATCTTTTTTAAAGTGGAGAGGGCGTGTCTTTAAAAAATTTCGTGAAAATCCTCCACAAAAATTTTAAGCTCCACTGCCACAGCTGACCATTGCTTGTGTGTCGTCTAAGATATTCATTGCAAATTATATGTTGTTTATAACAGGGTTGCAACTAACGATCATTTTGATAATCGATTGATCTGTCATTACTTTTTCGATTAATAATCGGATAGCGAAAGGTTCCTTAAAGAAGATTTTTTTTTACAGACTTAAACCAGGTGAAACTAAAACTTTTCGACTTTGAGTTCGTGATAGAGCATACTGAAAGGAAGAAAAGTAAATTTTTTAAATCTTAAAAGAAATTTTTTTTCCTCCAAATTTTGGTATAGTTACTTCTCTAGGTGGGTTGCTATGTCAGGAAAATGATTGTTTTAGCATCTTTATACTCCAATAAACGATAAATCGATTACTGAATCATAATTAAATCATTTAATCTGGGTTTTATGCAGAGGTATTGGATTTTATTTTGAAAATAAAAATGTAAAATATTATTTTCTTTCTCTTTCTTTCTCTCGTTGATCGAGCTCACAAATTACCAGTAAAATACAAATGTTTGCGGTTTCATGAAAAGAAGCAAAAAAGCTCTAGGTTATGAAAGCTTTTGCAAAGAAATATGTTGAAAAAATACTGAATAAAACTGGGAAAAGAGAAACACTCCACTGCTGCTTACTTAGATTCGTGTTTTAAAGACTGTGTGACCAACGTTTCCTTATAACTGCTGACAGCTGCAGAAGAGCTGTTTACTATCATTTCCAAGTGTGTTTGAAGATCCTTTAAGCACCCATCACACCATCCCTCCAAATGGTTTTTAGACTCCTAGACTGCTCTTTTGTTTTTAATCCCTTTGCTTAAAATGGGATGATTAACATCAACATTTCTAAGGGATCGCATGCGGGTGACGCGTCAGCAAGAGATCCTCCTGATCCTCACTTTCAAAAGGAGACCAAATAACTGTCGGCTTTTCACTTCTTGTATGGGAGATAAAAGACACGCTGCGCTCCTTCCACGCTCAACTTGTGTTTTCTTCATCACCAGGTTTCTACAATTGTTAAAAAGAAGATGCAAGACATGAGCTGTTGTGTAATTATCCTTTTGTTTTTAAATAAAAGAGGATCAGCCTTAAAAGGAGGACTTTTAACTGTCTGCCACAAAACATCCATCTTAAAAGCGAACATGTGGTCTGTGTAACTTGAAGCCACTTTGCCTTCAGCTGAGGGTGAGATGCTGCAACATGCATCACAATCCATCCCTGCAATAATGTTCTTATATTAGTTTAGGCTAAAAACTAACCAGCAGTCAAAAGTTATGACTTGAGATGGACAAACAAGCAGGAGGGCTCTGAGGAAAACCACAGGAACAGATGCTGCCATTATGAGAGAATATTCAACTTTTCTGCAATGTTTCCATCTGAGGGCACGCCACATAATTAAAGCTCCAGGGACATTCTGTATGAAGAACTTTGTGAGCTGAACTATTACTTTATTTTATTCTATTTTGCCTCCTGGCTTCATCTTTTTCACCTAAAGCTGTGGAGCGCTCATAGAAAGACTGAGTATTCTCTGTTATGTCAGCAGAGCTTTAAACAACACTTTAATCCTTTAACTACCTTTGTTTCTGACCAAAACATATAAAAACTAGTCAGAAAGCACAGAGGGAGACATTAAAAGGAAAAAGATTGGGCGCTCCAGTCAAATAACTGACTCCCTTTCAAGACAATGATGAAAAGTCACAGACGATATGAGGAAAGGTTTAAAGATGAGCGGGATGTACCGTGTTGGGTATGTAAGGCAAGCCATAGAACTTCTCCTGCATCTCCTTAAGGATTTCTGTTGTGGAACGGTTATGCGGTTGGCTGTGGTAGATCTGGTCCAAGGCTGCATAGAAAATCTGACAGAAAAAGAGAGAGAGAAAAAAAACAGACAACAAAAAACAGAACCAGACATGTTAAGCAGGGGAAAAAAGAACCCTTTAATAAGTCAAGGACAAGCTTAGCTGTGGGTTCAAAAACACAAAGTGAAAATGATGAAAGCGGCACCGTCGGGGCTCTCTCACACACAGGAATGTAAATTACCACTAGAGCACACTCACATTGCATTCTAGGCTTATATGAAAAGGTGAACCTACTAGAATTATAACCTTTGAATCCATCAAACTATTCTAACAATTCTGAAACGTATCCTAAAATCAACCAAAGGGTTTAGCTCACTCCAGTGCAGTCAAAATAAGTATAGATAGTCCATTTACTAGAATTAAAATGAAAGTTTAAAAGCGGGCATACACTAAGAGTTTTTGCCATTCTCTGGCCGTTTCTCCAGTCGTGCAAGAATTTCTTGGATCGGGCTGAGTTTCAGCTTTGTTGTGCGTCCTGCGTCGTGTAGTAGGTAACGAGGGCCGATTAGCCTCTCATGACCACTTCAAAAATTTCTGAAATTCAGTTGGAGAGGTGTTTGTTAGCGAATCCTGCTGTTGAAGCAGAGATAGAAGGGTCTAGAGGCCAATTTACCTGAGCATCTCACAATGCGCATGTGAAAACAAGGTTCTTCTTCTTCCAGATTGACGTGTTTGGCATCTCTCGCCGCAACGTTTGAGGTATGGTTTTTGCTTGTACCATGTGAGCAGTTCAATTGCATCAGAGCATCGGGCAGTACAGTGTAAGAACATAAATTGTGAGCTATGAACATTTAAACCCTGCAATTTCATTGTACAGTTTGAGCTGTAGCTGAGTATGATTAAAAATATTGTACAGTGTATGTCCGGTTTAAGTTAGCAATACTCCCTGTAATCTAAGTGACTGTTTTAAGACAACAACAACACAGCATGCTAAATAGGAGGCTAATCCAAAACTATGTCTAACGAATCGAATCTCGAGTTATTAGTCGTTTTATAAAGTTTAAACCAAACATTTAAGTTGAAAAAGAAAATAATTTTTTGCCACATTCTTGATCCTAGTGTTGTAGTCAAGACCACACAAACCTGGACCAAGGAGTACCGAAACCTCATCTGTTCTTGACCTTGTCACTATTTCCTCTACATTGAAATATATGTTTCAATCTGATTCATCAACAGGTCATATCAAAACAGTAGACATACTAGCATTAGCTATTCAGTCATCAGCCCCTAATGAAAGCTTCGTCAGCTGTAGCAAGGAGTGAGCTTAGTGACAAGCTGCATGTTTGAACAAATGAATAATATAACTAAATATTTTAGTTTATTTCAGACTATTATAGCAGTTTTCTGAACATATTTAAGTGAACACTAGTTAAGCAAGACACACTCTTTAATAGCGTCAAAAAGGTAAAACTGGTTAAAAATGGCGACAAATTTTAGAGCCCAATATAATCTGGAAAGCAGCTAAAGCTTCTCTAAGCTAAGGGGACAAATTATTTCATACATTTCATTTAAAAATCATGAAAGTCTTAAAAGAAATTTGAGAAAAAAATCTGAATTTCTTAATCAAAGAAAAGGAACTGTGATTAGAGGTATCAGAACTGGAGGACACTGTGTTATTCTCAGACATAATCAGAAGAAAAATCGTCAATTTTAAAATAACTTGAAAAGAGTGGAACAATCTATATTCCAAGAAACAATATGGGAGAAGTAGATAGGGAAGACTTTGTAAGATAAGGCCCGAATAAAAATTATTTATTTAAAATAAACCCCATTTCCTTTCACAAGTAATAAGATTAAGGAAACCAATTACAAATGTACTCTTAAATCCTATCTAACAGCAATAAAAATGCATAAAATATCAAAGGAAATATCGCTACTTTGTCAAAGATTTTAAAAAGTGGACGGAAATTCTTGCATATGTTTTAGAATTGTGATCTTTTAAAAAGTCATTTGAGCTTGATTGATGCTTTTACCCAACCAGTTTTGGATACAAAACTCAAAAATATGCAGTGGTTTATAATTACTTAATGGCACACAAAATACATAGCTGAACTACAAGAAAATATAGGTAAAGATTTTGATAACTTATTTTGGAAAAAAATGCATTTTATGTTGGGAGAATAAGTCAACTCCAACTTTGACGTTTTTCTTGGATCAACTAGCTTTCCTTTTACCTCTGGAAAAGCTAACCTGGGAGAATATAATCATGCTTATTGTTGTAATGATCTCTGACTGCCCTTACTTGACGGGATGGAGAGTTTCTAAATTTGCATATTAAAAGTGGAATTCTTCATGCTATAATCTCCTATATTATGTTCAAGTTGCTGCCTGTTGCATTTATTTATGACTCCTACTGTGTACTTCTATGGGGAGACAGGAGTGTACATGGATATGCATGGATTGGTTTGAATGCATGTTTGTTTTTGTTTTAGGAGGGAGGGAGGTTTGCACCGAGGGATACCTGTAAGCTTTGAGATCTACTCTTAGTTTGTATGATATTGTATTTTCCTTTGCGGGAAAAAAAAAAAAGGTGTTATTTAGGAGATCTATAGTCAGAAAATGCTTCATTTCATTTTGGTTTTGGGAGCCTACGTGAAGAAAATTAAACATGCAGTTGAATAAATTCATGCTGAGAAGTCTGTTTTGTCTGTTTTTCGTTACACTAATGGGAACAAAACAAGCAACATGGTTACATTTATACATTTATTTTAATTCAGAAACTTATTTGAACTAGGTATTGATGGAAAATTCAACTTTACTAACAACAAAATGAACCTGATAAAAGTAACAGTTTACTGGATTACCTTACCTTACCCTAATCTGAAGAAACAAATCATACATCGGCCTAAAGAAGGACAGAAGTATTGAATCTCCACTTCCTGCTAAGATTTCCAGTGGTTTTTACCTGCAGCTGGGTGTCTGCCGCTCCGCACACCTTCTTGGACTCACAGAGACGAGTGACCATGCTTTCAGGCAGAGGCTGACGAAACACAGACGGAGCAAAACTGTTAGCAAGCAAGTCTTTAAAAGAATTGGGCTGTTGGTTCTGTGTTGTTATGGTCATACCTGTCCGGTTTCATAATGACGGGCAAACTGGCTGATGACTCTGTAGTCTGTGGCGAAGTACTCCATGAGGATGGAGGGGACTTCAGCAAAATCAGTCGCACACCTGGTCCCTTAAACAGCAAAAAAAAAAGGAAAATATTAAATTATAAAAAAAGGGGAGGAAAGTGTCACATTAGGTTATAAATGAATCTAATTTTATGAGGACTTTAAATTTCAGAAACATGCTGGAACATGTTTGAATAAAGCAACCGCTATCAGCTAATACTGTTACTCAGCCATGCTCTCTTTAATTACTTGACATTTTTCAGCATCATCAGACACTAGGAATGGTGTAGAGCGTCATAACCTTCCCTCAGGGCTTACACTTGATCGGATATAGTTTCCATTTCAAATTCGCCGCGGTGTAAAAAAAAACCCTCCAGGTCGGTGTCAAACAATGTAATTCTAGCTTGTGACATTTGGGACTACACACAGTCATGGCTTACAGACAGGGAGCTCATAAAGCTCATAAAATGTCATCGGGGATCACCTTCTGCTCTGTTGGATTGTTATTACTTCACTAAATCCTGTCTCACGTTCCAAAGTTGACTTTAACTCAAATAAGCCTTTTAAGCTTTGAATGGTTACAGTTGTTTTTTTTCCCCGATTTGCTCAGAGCGATGTGTGCGTCTGCGCTCTCTGCACCTGTCACGTGTTGGTAGCGAGTCCTGCCTAGCATGGAGTGCATGGCATGGCCCATTTCATGGAAGAGGTTCTCCATCATGCCTGGAGTGAGCAGAGTGGGGGCGCTTTTCGTAGGGTGGGGGAGACTCAGCATCAGAACCACAACTGGCAGCTGGTACTGGTCCGTTTCCTGGCACCAGCGTCCACCCCGGATGGTAAAGTGACAGTCCTGCAAAGACAAACATATACAGTATTATTCCTTAAATCTGAATATTATAGAAAAGCTAATTTATTTCAGTGACTTGGTTAACTAAGTCTGTGTGTAATTGGTCCATATAGTTTCTGAGATGTTCAAACCTTCAATTTTCTTAATTATATGATTTCCTGTCTCCCAGGAGGTTCAGATTCAAGTCAATCCAGATTTCCAGCTTGATTGCTGGTTTCTAACTTTAAAAAAATCCTCCTTTGGTAAATAAAGAAAAAAAATCATTACTTTAGTCTTGTTTTAATTCAGCCTCTTCCAATGAGGATTCAAACCAGTCCAGTTCTCTACCAGAGAGGCCAACCCAGTTCTTCAAGCACACTATTAAAATGGAGTGGTCACAGTGACAAACACTGTACTAAGGCCCAATGAAACCATCACTATAATCCTTCCACAGTCTGCATTTCCACAGACTTCACTGAGCACCTTGACAAGGTCAGTCTCTGTACTGAAATGAGCACAGAAGGCTGACTGGAAGAAGCTGAAGCACTTGGTTATTGTTAGGATGTTTAACCCCTGAAAGAGAGCTTTACTAATCTTGCTGATGAAGGGGAGGTTTGAGATGGGCCTGTAGTTCTGCAGTAGCAGCTTTCCCAAGTTAATCTTTTTCAACATCAGTTTCATAAATGCTGACAAAAAGGGATGTGTTTATTATTTAAGATAAATCAGATGCTGTGACAGGCAGAGCTTTTCTAAAGAATGCTGTGGGTAAAACATCAAGACAGCAAGAAGAAGAGCTTATGGTGTAGGATTTATTCTAAGTATTTGTAGTTTAATTTTGTAAAACTGGGAAATTTTGCCAAGTTCAGTTTAAGTTGGAGACAACTTTAGACTGGGATTGATATGGATTGATTTACAGACTACTATCTGTGCCCTGGTAGAGTGGGGTTCATATATTACAGTTTACAGCAGAGTTTGTTAGCCTGTCAACCGTGGCAAATAAGAAAAGATGTAATGTTTTCAGCTGAGTCTCTCTATGTAGTGGTTACAGTAAACCTGGAACCAGGTTTTCACCATCTATCCTCAGCTTTTTGACATTCCCTTTTCACTTACAACTAGTAAAGCACTCTCCATGCTGAGTTTTTCTTCCCAGAAGCAACCTTTACTTTATTAGGAGCAACCAAATTAACAATGTCCGAGATTTCAGAATGAAAGTTATCAACCAGCTCATCTACAGAGTTAGATGGCAAAGTGGAAGTTGAGGATTAAATCTGGACAAAGGTTTTAGTAGGACCATCAATAAAGATGTGTTTCCTAATTATTTATCTTTGGCTAACTGCCTCATTTAAAATTATGCTTTCAAAACTAAACGTTATGCTGGGAATACAACTATATGGAGCAGGGCTGTAACTACCACTGTTTGTATTTATCTAGTTATTAAATTCTGATATATAAATAAAAATACATTTCAGTGAAACTGAATTTAGGACGATGATCTTCCCGCAAAACTGTGAGCTGTTTAATATTTGAAGTGCCAAAAGTAGCAAAACTTTTTAATAAAACAGTGCTCAAGGGTTTAGGCATGTGTGCTGCGTCGTCGTCAGTACCCATTGTCGCTATGGTAACTGCTACGCATCAGCTACCGATGCCGTTAGAGAGTCCGTCTTTTATTGGAAGAGGAGCAAATGGAGCTACAAACGTAGGTGTAGAGCAGTGTAAGTTTTAGAGTAGTTTAAGTTGGGCTGATCCCAGACCAGGGAAACTAGCTTCACTTCATGTTAACATGTGTTGAAATGCATATTTTTATTTTTACCAGTTTAGTTTTTGACTGTGTTGATATTCTTCACTAAAGCGAACACAGGATTGGTAAGAAATCACCAAGTTAAACAGAGTTCAAATTGGGGCCAAGTGGCAAGAGGAGCAGTGAGGAGAAATAGAGGAAGAGCAGCTACTAGAAAAGGAAGATAGAGCGGCAAACATTTCTAAGTTTAAAAAAAACAGATGTTTAATGCAGGATAATGGAAATATTGTGTTAGATTATAATAGAAATATGTTTAAAAGCTTTAATTAACCAGAGTAAACATATTAGGCACCATCATCAATATAATAATGTCATAGGGCTCGGGTGCCTTTTTTCAAATACTGAAGTACATAATAAGCAACTCATTTCAATTATCCTGGAAAGTCTCTTGTGACACAATACCTTTAGATAGAAGTTTCAAAAGAAAGATGACATAAAAATCAAGTTTACAATGTCTGAAATGTTTGGCATGGGAGAACAGGAAGAGAAAAATGCACTGCCTAGCCTATTCAAAAGTCAGAATGATGTGACTTATCCTCCTTAAGACTCTGAAAATGTCCAGATTTAAATGGTGGAAATAAAATGGCTCTGGGAGCACACCACCCCTACCCGCTTAGAAGTTCTAACCCTTGACATAAGTATTTTTTGGACCTTGCATACGGCCCTGATATGGACATGTTTAACTAAATAAAGGTCTAAGAAAACATTCATCTTTTTACATTTGAAAAATCCGTAACAAAAAAAGCTTAAAAACAAAATGAATTTTGAAGATTGGTAACAAATATGTGCATTTATGTAACCCATTGAGATCCACTTTGGACCTGAGATGGATGCAGGCAATGACCAAAACAAATGCTAATCTCATTATTTGAGGGGATATCTTACAAAGAGAAACGTTAGTGATCATTTATACTAAATTTACTTACCTGGTGAGGCTTATCTCGTCGTTGGAAAAAGTCACAGTAGATGTATCCCAACAACCCTTCAGTTTCATGCACCACAGCCTAGACACAAACACCCCCAAACAGACAGACTCTCAGCTGTAAGCAAGAAAAAAGATCTCTACACAAAAGGTGGGATTTAAAACACAATCAGCACGGGGGATTTCAATCACCAGTTTGCGGACGTCTTCACTCCACACTTCTCCAGCGCCTGGATGTTCCGACATGAGGGAGACACCATACAGCTGGGAGAAAAGGTTGTTCAAGCCCTCCATGCAAGCACCAAGAGAGAAGTACGGGCTGTACAGGCTTGGCTCAATGTTGTACCTGGAAAGAGAAAAGAGGAAGTCTGAATAATGAAAAAAATACATCTATAATTGAAAAAAACTTTCCCAAATGTAAAACGATTTTATCTTCTCTATATTTTTCCTGTCCCATGACATTCGGGGTTCAGGTCAACCTCTCATATGTGTACATTTGTAAAACAAACACTTTTACAGTTTTTGTAATATACATAAGTATGTTATGATTATTTTTTCATTATGTTAGAATTTCCTATTCATAATTACATAGAAGTAGGTCTCTCATTTATGGAAGCAGACATCTTTGTTCTACGACAGCGCTGAGCCAAAAAAAACAAAAAAAACTGTGGCTGTAGGAATGGCCATGACATCCGAACGAGACTGCAGCGATATAGGGATATATAAAACCAACATCCTACACTTGACTAATAAAATACCTTTTATTAACGTATCTAGGTAAAGATGGGTGATGTGGATGTTAAAGAAGCCCTTTTTTACCATGACGGCCTGGTTCATGTTGCTGAAGTCTGACCATTAGCTGTCGCTAAAAAAATTACACACTGTAGCTTTAAAGGTTTGAGAAGCCTATAGCCTCAATACGCTACCCTCTGAAAACCGATCCGTGACGAGCTTGGATCAGTTAACCGTGCCAAGCTCGGTTCCTTACAACCATTTACACAAAACGCTAGGATCGTTCCTCGTCTCGACGCTCTACAGTACTACTGCTCTCTAGAGGGAAACAAGCAAATCAACATGGCAGCGCCCATAACATTTAAAAAATTTGGGAACAGTCAGGCGAAGAAGGCAGCCTTTGGTGGGTTTACTTGACAGAGTCGGCTTTTGGGAAGAGGATACGACAAATGATTGTCTAATCAGGGCTTACAGATGCAGGAAACAGGTGTTGATGTTCATCAAATTGCTAAGCAGAATCATCCAGTTTAGCGCAGTTTGGTTGCGTCAGGCATGGTCCGGTTCAATTGTGCATACCATTTACTCTTAACAGTTAACTCGTTTACCATGCTCGTAAATAGGGCTTATGCTTTATTTTGTGAAAAACGCTGTTTGATCTTAGCATGACTTCCGGTTTTTGTTCAACTTTAAATTACAGTAGTACACCAGAATAAATATTGAGAAAAAAAAAAAAATAGGACTGGTTTTGTTAGATATCAAACCATTTTCTTTCATCCTTTGACAAAGTCAAAAAAACAAACAAATATAAACCTAAAATCCTTTATCTGTAGCTGCTAGGAACTGGACGAGACCAACCTTTCACCTTTTTTGTTTTAGAGTGAAAAAATGCTACTCATTTTAACAGACATTAATTCTAAACTTACACATAGGATACAACAGTATCTTATGATACATTAAAAAAAGAAATTTTGTTCAAGTTTCCTAAAGTAGGATATGTAGACGGCAGCGCAGTGGATCCCATGCTTCTCCCATATCCCCCTTTGTAACGAGCGACACCTGAGGCACAGTTTGGGTGCGCTAACCAAGAGAATGGAAATATGACCGCCGAATGTCATCACAAAAATACAGCTCAACCTGATTTCTATCAAATGACAAGGGCAGGAAAACAAGTTAAGGTTTCCACCTTTCAGCACGCAGGACACCGCTGAGGAACGGATGATCCCAGGGCATCAGCTCCTGTGGGAAAGCAGGAGTTAGACACTGTAACTGAAGCTTGAAATAAAGAACAATAATGAAAGCATCAGAGTAACACCATTTGCTGTAGAAACAGAATATAGAACTTTTTGCAATGAGAAAAAAAAAAACACCCACAGCATTACGAGGGTTGAGCTTCTTCTTCATTTCTCTCATCATCTGAAAATCCTTTGCTGTTCTGGAAGATAAAAAGATAAAAGTAACAAGTTATGAGCTAACTGTCTGCAGGCGTTAATTCCTGGCTGTACGCACCTCTTTCTGCACAGGGTCAATAAGGGCCAGAGCCTATCCCAGCATGCATTTGGCTGAAGGCAGGGGAACACCCTGGACAGGCTGCCAGGCTAACAATCATTCCTGTGGGTAATTTAGAGCACTCTGGTCCACCTAACGTGCATATTTTTGGACCGTTTGAGTCATTCACCTCACACAGAATACACTTAAAATAGGGAACACAAAAAGCCAGAGGCTTTTGAGGATAATTAAATATATTTGCCTGGGCTTTCAATACATGAATGTTCTTGAAAAGTTATAACTTATCAAGGCAGATATTAAATCAGATCCAAAATTGTTTATAAAGAACTTTAAACACATAGAAACTAAAGAGCTGCAAAAAAAAAAAAATCATTAAATATATATAATTCCATTCATTAAAAGGGATTTTAAGGAACAAAATAAAAAAAGTATAAC